CTACCGTACTAGTNTAGTTACCGTANACGTACTACTACTACTATACTAACTACGTACGTAGGTACGGTTAAGTACTACTACTACTTACTACTACTATATATATATATATATATATATATATATATATATATATATATAGTATTTTTTGTTATATATTATTTATAGATATAAATAATATATAAAATAATTTTTTTAGATCCAATTGAGTCCGCACCTGGATCTGGATGCAATATATACTTTTCAGAAGTGGATTTGGATGTGAATATTCTAGATTTAATTGGGACTCAATTCGAATTTAATCCCATATATATTTTTTAGATCCGAATATAGATCTCAATGAATCTGGATCCATTCGGACCTATCCCTAGCCCTAGTTGGGCTGGGCCAGGCCAAACACAAATGAAAAATATAAATATGAAAAAAAGAGGGCCTAGCATGCCCCTAATGCCAAAAATTCTTGGCCCAAGCCCTACTTTTTTAGAGTAGGACTAACAGGGCCCGGCATGCCGGGCCGGACCGCCCGGCCCATTTCCTAAAGAACTCCGTGGGCGCCGGCCTTAGCTCGACACTACCCCGAAAGCGCAAGCACAAGTCCGCCTTAGCATTGACTGAGCCAATGATACCCCCATCCCAAATACAATCGTAAAGAAAAAAGAAAAAAGAATAAAGAGGAACAAAAATAGAGCCCATGACGGTGACACAATCATGGCCGTGATAGTCGGCCTGGGCCACACATATATAACTTAAGCGCTGGGCCGGGTTGCACTAACTACGCCCATTTCCAATCCTACCTTTTTGTTGTTATTTCCTTGACCATGTTTATTTATATGTAAATCACACTTTCCATGCATATTTATATGGAGGCTTCCTCCCATCTTCCATTACTCTGCATTCTTCCAGTTGTATGCTGGTTGTCTTCATTGATTGCTCTCTCTCACTCTCTCCCCGTTTACTTCTTAAATAATAAAATAATAGTTCAGGTGTGGCCTAAAGAGATGTCTTAAATGCATCATGTACCGCTAAATGCTTGGTCGTTTCGTGTCTTAATAATGTTCTCAATAGGGATTTTCTGCTGATTTTTTATCTTTTGGAGAGATTGGAAGCAACCCAGTTTGAGTTTTGGGTTCTTGAGCTCTCTCACTCAGAGTTGAAATGTTATATGATATTAGGTTGCACATGCTCTGAGTGTGTACCCTTGCGTTAGTACTGAACACCCATTTCAGCTTCCACGTTGTCTTAATTCCCTTTCACTGAAATGGTGGAGAGAGAGAAGTAAACTGATTCGCATTGGTGCTTTCAATCTTTGTTTTGACTGATACCTGAACCCAAATGAGCTTCATTATTTCTGCTTGAGAAATAGATGTAATCCTCTTCTCTAATGTTTTAATGCATATAGATTTTCAGTCCTTTGATTTCACCATGTCACTCAGAGGTTTTTTTGTCTGACACCGAGTTCCACAGAGTGGTTCTTTTATATCAGAGAGTTCTTTTTTCCTTATTTGTCTTCCTATCTGTTGAGATTGTTTCATTAGTTTGCCTCCACTATCTTCACAAGAAACCATGGAGGAATCTTTTGTGCCTTTCAGAGGCATAAAGAATGATCTTTCAGGAAGACTCAAGTGTTACAAGCAAGACTGGACTGGCGGTTTCAGTGCAGGCTTCAGGTAATCGGTTTTTTTCATATGAAACCATAAAATGTTGGTTGTTTTAATGTCTAAAATCAACAAATACACAGTTTTGTGACCAAACCCTGCTTCTTTATTATGCCATTTCACCCCCGCAATGCTTGGATTAATGTGTTCAATGAAAAGAAATTTCTTGGTTCTTTGCAACCTCTGCAGATTACTTATATCAGTATTACTTTGTCTTTAATTTTTCAGGATTCTAGCTCCCACGACATATATATTTTTCGCTTCTGCGATTCCTGTCATATCCTTTGGAGAGCAGCTAGAGAGAAGCACAGGTTAGACAAACTGTCACAAATTCCTCTCTCCATTTTCAGTACTTTTCTATTTTTAGGCTTACAATTTATGTATATAAATGAAATCGGTATTTCTGATCTTGTTAATTGTCACATTCTGAAGCAAGGTACCCATGTGGAGTTAAATGAATCACTCTTCTTTTTCAAAAGTGAAAAAACAGAATATATTTCAGATCGGATGAATTTTGCTCTGGTTTTTGTAGATGGGACTTTAACTGCTGTTCAAACCTTGGCTTCCACTGCAGTCTGTGGAATCATACACTCCATCATAGGAGGTCAGCCATTGCTGATCCTTGGGGTGGCTGAGCCCACTGTTATTATGTACACTTTCATGTTCAACTTCGCAAAAGATAGAGCTGATTTGGGTCCCAAGCTGTTTTTAGCATGGGCTGGATGGTATGGAGTCCTTTCATATTAAAACTCCTAGGTTATTTTTGAATTTCAAGTTCTCATCGGGAAATTTCATATTTTTCATGGATAGATAGGTTCTCAGTTTTTACGAATATAAGATGCATAGATATTTACCATAATTTTATGGTTCTTCAGGGTATGTGTATGGACTGCATTCTTGTTGTTCATGTTGGCCATATTGGGGGGCTGCTCCATAATTAATAGGTTTACAAGAGTGGCTGGTGAATTGTTTGGTCTATTGATAGCTATGCTCTTCATGCAACAAGCTATAACTGTAAGAATATTTCTCTTTCTTCATTTCTCCTTTTCTTTTCTGAGGTTGCATATGAGAGAAAATTGTTTTCTTTGACTAGTTAACTGGTTTTTTAGATTCTGATTGTTTCCTAGCTTTGGAGAAATTGTTTTAGTCGAATAGTTTGGATTCAAATCAAGAGTCTAGCTTTGTTTTTATAACTAGCGATTCTTCCCGTGTTAGATGTTTTGTGCTGTTTCTGGATTCTTCTCACTTTATATTAAACTTTTGTAATTGGGTCATTATGTTTTCTCTATTTTTCTCACCAATTTTCCAATTGAGCAACATGAGTGTGACATAGGTTCTACTCAACTTGAGATCGACTTTTCGGCGCCACTCTCTCTTAGCTTGCTTTACTTTCATTTCAGCTTAATTTATTAAGTAAAGTGAACCCACTTTACTTGACTAAGTTGAGTGGGGCATTTTCACTGGCTTTCTTTCCAGTTTAGCATAATTAATCAAGGAAAACATTGCTGCTTAGCTTAAGCTTGACCAACTTAAGTGGGGCACTGCAACTTTCTGGGCTTGCCCTAGCTTAATGATGAGATTGTTGCTTAAATTAATATAAATTTATGAGTTGGAGAATCACTTTGCCCCTTTCAACTACCAGTATCATTCACTGAGTTCTTACTGTATGTTTTAGAGAACAGTTCTCTGTGTGTAATTTGTTCATTTGGCTGGAAAATCTTTACAATTTTCATTTTCATTTTCTTTTTCTTTTTCAGGGGGTTGTTGAGGAGTTTCGTATCCCCAGAAGGGAAAATCCTCGACTTACTGAATTTGTGCCCTCTTGGCGATTTGCCAATGGAATGTTCGGTTTGGTCCTCACCTTTGGCCTTCTTCTCACTGCATTAAGGAGTCGGAAGGCACGTTCTTGGAGATACGGCACGGGTTCGTAATTTCATTTAATGTTCGAATTGTGTTAACCTCGTAGTTGTGATATTATTTGGATAATTCATTCATCCATTACTCTTAATAGAAGAAAATGATTCTTCTCTCCCTTCTTCGTTGGAATTCATACTATTCATGCAAGTATATTCCCTGAGGTTTCCTGAGAAATTTACCAAAAAATGTAAAAGTTTTTAAACCTTATGCAAAATGACCTTCCCAAGAACAAGATCCACCACAAAAGGATGGTGTGTGTTTATTTATTATTTATTCATTTATTTCTTGTTATAGTCACAAGTAGGTCGGTATATAAGTCTTGACTGAGTGATTGGATCTTTTGTATGGCAGGATGGCTAAGAAGTTTCATTGCTGATTATGGGGTGCCATTGATGGTTCTTGTGTGGACTGCTGTTTCTTACATACCTTCTGGTGATGTCCCAAAGGGGATTCCAAGAAGGCTTGTTAGCCCAAATCCCTGGTCTCCTGGAGCATATTCAAACTGGACTGTCATCAAGGTACTGTCCTATATGTTCTTATAAATTTGATTATTCCTTTATTTTCAGCATACTGCACAAGCAGAAAAAATAGGTTATCTTTCTGTTCAACTTTTGCACTATCCTTTAAAGGCTTATCTACTTTCTACTGGTGTGCTGGAAGATTCAAATAAGTGATTGTGTCATTTCTTTCTTTCCTTTCTTTTCTGATAAGTTATTGCTTTTTTCTTCTTTTTCTTATCAACAGCAAATGCTGGATGTTCCGGTTCTTTATATCTTGGGAGCTTTCATTCCAGCCACCATGATTGCCGTTCTTTATTATTTTGATCACAGTGTCGCATCTCAGCTTGCTCAGCAGAAGGAGTTCAATCTGAGAAAACCACCTTCATTCCATTATGACTTGCTTCTCCTGGGTTTTCTGGTAAGAACTCCATTTTCTCAGAGAAAAAATAGTCAACAGTTTGAAATGGTATATGGCAAAGGGAAAGCTTATTATAATCTGATATGATGTGCAAAAATCACAGTCCATTGGGTCAATACCATGCATACACAAGGGTGGTGATCATGAGAGACAAGGACCCACCATAACAGGAGATGACCCCAATGATGGGTCCCAAGTTTCTTTCTCACTGTCTTTTGTCTTCTTTTATGGTGATGAAAATGGCATATGGTTTTCAGTAGCTGGTTAGATTACAGTGCAATTTCCCTGTGGCAGATTATTCTTTTGTTGTGACACATTTTCTGCTGGTCACTTACATATTCCCTTTGTTTTCTCTGCAGACCATAATATGTGGTCTTGTGGGCATCCCCCCATCAAATGGTGTTATCCCACAATCTCCAATGCACACAAAAAGTTTGGCCACTCTCAAGCATCAGGTATGGTAAAGAAAACTTCATGATCTGCTTTTACTTCTATTGTTCACTTACAAGGCTAATCATTTATCATCAATGACAGTGGTTAAGGATTAATGTGCACTCCAGTTTTTCCATATATCTGTTGCATTAGTTTCATTTTTGGGAAGGTTTTAAGCTTTTTAAGCTTTTCAGAAATATAATCCGTGGAAAACATTCTCATTGTGACAGCTTCTACGCAATCGGCTTGTAGCCACTGCACGCAATTGTATCAGTAAGAATTCAAGCTTGGGACAGCTCTATGGAAACATGCAAGAAGCTTATCAACAGATGCAGACTCCATTGATCTATCAAGAGCAGTCTACTCGGGTAAGATACACAAACGCATGTATATATTCCTGTATGTATTTGCATACATGTAGTGTATATGCTCTATGTATGTGTGTATGATCTGTGAGAGTGTGAGTATGGTCGTCTGTATGTCCTTACACATGAATCTATGTGTTTTAATTAATGTATTTTAGTTTATTTATGTTTTTATGTATATGCACATCAGTTGGGTGGCCCAAAAGACATAATTTAAGGTTCAAACCGTTGATTTTCCTCCTACAAACAGGATCTCACCCAACTGGTTTGTTCTATGTGATTCATATTTATGTGTACGTAGCATGGGTGGATGGATGGATGTGTTCATGTATGTTATTCGTGTTATCAATATGAAACTAGAAAACCATCCATACTAAGCCTAATTTGCGTCTAATCAATTCACCCAAAAAATTTTGTCTAATCAGGGCCTGAGGGAATTGAAGGAATCAACGATCCAATTGGCATCAAGCATGGGGAATATTGATGCTCCAGTTGACGAGTCAATATTTGATGTAGAGAAGGAAATTGATGATCTTTTGCCTGTTGAAGTAAAAGAACAGCGTCTCAGTAACCTACTCCAAGCTTTCATGGTTGGAGGCTGTGTTGCTGCTATGCCATTCATCAAAATGATTCCCACATCTGTTCTTTGGGGTTATTTTGCTTTCATGGCCATTGAAAGCTTACCTGGTAACCAGTTTTGGGAAAGGATTCTACTTCTCTTCACTGCTCCAAGCAGAAGATACAAGTATGATGCTGTTATTAGCTCTGCAAGTTTATAATTTTTTAAAAAAAAAGTTCAGGGAAATTGGAGCATAATCCATTGGAAATGGGCTATGGGAAAACCATAGTCCTTCGAGTCATTATCATCGATTGAAATGACGGCAAGTGATGGAGAGAGCGAGTAGGCTGCAAAGTGGACATGATCCTAGTTGTCAGTCCTGCTCTCTTTCCATCATTGTCCATTTCAACAGACGAAAATGACTCATTGGACTGTAAATTTTGTTCATCGTCCATTAGATAATAGTAAGCTTTCCCCAAAAAAAGAAAAAAGAACTGAAAATTTTCATAAAATGGATTTGTGTATGATCCTTTTGTCAATATGGGATTGTTTATGATTCATTTCTTCCTATCTCTTCTGCAGAGTGCTTGAGGAATACCATGCTACCTTTGTGGAAACTGTGCCTTTCAAGGCAATTGCCTTCTTTACAATATTCCAGTTAACATACCTGCTGGTTTGTTTTGGGATGACATGGATTCCTATTGCTGGCGTTTTGTTCCCTCTGATGATTATGCTTTTAGTCCCTGTTCGCCAATACCTTCTCCCCAAGTTCTTCAAAGGACCGCACCTTCAAGATTTAGATGCTGCCGAATATGAAGAGGCACCAGCATTACCATTCAATGTTTTAGCTGTAAGACCTCTCTCTTTCTCTCTCCTCTCCCTCCCCTCCTCCTCCCCCCGCCCCGGTGTGCATTGAAATCTGTTGGTTCTTATTGAACTGTAATATCTTGTGTTTTGGCATGCTGCTTGCTTAGTAATTTATGGACATGTTTCTCTTGCTATTATTCAGTTACAGGAAGGAGAATCTAGTGGGCTTGGGGGGATGAGGGGCACTCCAGATGATGGTGAGATCCTAGATGATATTATCACTCGCAGTCGAGGAGAGATAAGAAGGACTTGTAGTTCAAAAATCACAAGCTCAACAGCCACCCCTGTGACTGATCACAGAGGGCCATTCAGCCCACGCTTCTCAGAGAAGGAATTCAGCCCTCGTGTGAGTGAACTGCGCCACGAAAGTAGCCCTCGGGTGGGTGGAAGACGGGCATTCAGCCCAAAAACTGAAGCTAAGCCCTCTAATTTAGGCCAGAGTGCTAGGAATTCCCCCTCTTAACTTGAAGCAGATGATGGCTTGTATTTTTTTGTGCTTGTACATTAGCTTGGAATGGCGTTGGGAGCCTGTTATGTTGATATTAAGAGGAATGCAAATGTGTTGTATTGTATCTAGCTCTCTCTCTCTCTCTTTATATATATATATATATATATATATATGAGGCAATGATCCAATATAACGGTTGTATCATAGTATAATGCAATAACACTTCTAGCAAACCATGTTTGTGGTATTTGTATGACTTCAAATTTTGCACAAATACTCTCTTCATCTCAATAATCAATCTCTCAAAACAAAAAAAGTTCAATTTGAACCTTATATATGGTCAAAATGAGTCTCCTCCAAAAATGAATCTAGACCATTCATTTTGTGAATTTCAAGATCTTACCTTTTATAAACTCAAAATCAAATTTGTCTTTTTAACATTGTTCATCTAATGATAATAAAGCTATCCAAAAAAATCAGAAATAAAAAAACTTTCTAAGGCCTAGATCTAAGTATCTCATCAAAATGAGCGGCCTGTGTTAATTGGGCTAAAAAGATACTTTTTAGGTTGTGTTTTCAATTTTTCTTTTTTTCTTTATTATTCATTAGAATGAAAAGAGTGTATGTTTCAAATTTGGATCAAGCAAATAGCCATAAGATGGTTTTTTAAGGTTGTTGCTTCATATTATTATACAACGGTTGCATGAAATCATTGCCCCGTG